AAATACTGGTGGGCATATGGGGGTGCAACATTTTCTCAGCAAAGGTGAGGAGAAAGGAGACAAAGCCAGGAACCCTGACACCAGTGGTCAGGGCAAAGGCTTCCTGAAGGAGGTAAAGGCAAGGGAAAAAGCCAAGGACCCACCCAGCCCTGTGCAGGCGAAGACTCCTCCGCCGCCACCGGCCCGCAAAAGGGACGGCCCTGCAGCCCTGGAGGAGCTGCAAAGACTTCTGGTCAAAGCGAAAGCACCCCACGGTAACACCTTGGAGCTTCCTGTCTTTGGGCAGAAAGCCCCCGTCCTTGAAGCGGAGCTCATTCCCATGACACTCTTCTGTCCCTATCTTCACGCATGAAGTCCCTGGACCCGGCCACAAGGGTCACCCGGGCCTGTGAGGCCTTGCCTGTGCCCAGCGCAGGACAGTCGACCGTGAACTGGCCCTGGGCTTGGCTGGCAAACACCAGCCTCACTGTTTCTGGAAACCTCATCTCCAGAATTTTCTGCTTTGTGGACTTCAGCGTGGCTCAGAGCTTGACGGCTTCGACCAGTCTAGAACGCAACCCGTAGAGGGCTTTGTTAAGTTTCAAGAAAAGCTTTTCCCCTGATGGACCCCTGCAACCTTCTGGCATGCTCACAACCACTTGTCACTTGTTCTCCCATGAGATGTGCGAACAGAAACGCGGTGGACACATCGAGCCCTAGGATATTCAAACCCTTGGCCCCGGTCACAGCGAGAAACAACTTCCTTGGAACCCTGTGCAGCGGCACCCTCTTTATCATGCACAGCTCCGATGAAGATCTTCGGAAGATGCTCATCCCTCAAAACAGCCATCACAGGTCGTTCCATGTGACCCCCGGAGGGAGAGGCACTCCTGATGGAGTTGTTGCCTGAGTTGGCGGCCGGTTGGACGGTGTCGCTGGTGGCATTGAGCTTGTTCCCGGCATCATTGAGCTGGTTCCCGGCGTTGTTGAGCTGGTTCCCGGGCTGTTCCCTGACCCAACTTCGAACCATTGTGGTGCCGACGGCGGCGGTGGAGGAGGCGGCAAATTCAGCCGCGAACCCTTGTGGACCGGTCCACCAACATCACCAAGCTCCTTGTCTCTCGGCCCTGCTGCCACCTTCAAAAACAGCCTGGGAAAAACGGCCTGAAACTCCTTTCTGGACCCCTTCGTTTCCAGGAGTCCAGGAACTCGGCAAAAGGCTTGGCGTACTTCACGACCTTCTCCTGCGCCGCACCATGCTGCGCCACCGTCCTGAGCTCCGGCGTCTGCGTCTCCGCATCCACCATCTCCACGCCCTTGCTCTGACTCCAAGCTCTGGAACCCTTCTTTCGCCGATTTCTCGGATCAGGCCTCCAGTTCTTGCCCAGCTTTGTTCTTCACCATGGCGCCCAAGCCGGACTTGAGGAACGTCTCACACCAGGCATTGCCTTCAAGGCCGGCGCCTTTGGCATGCGCTTTATCTTGGACGCGGCTTCTTCTTCTCGCTCGGCACTGCAACTCTTGCAACGCTTGGCGTTTCTGGTGCTCACCCCAGATCCTCGTGGGTTCTCTCTATGATCCTTCTCTTCTAAGCAAAAAATGGGAGTCTTGCCAAATTTGTCGATTCCTAAGAACTCTCTCGGGAGGGTGTTCCAGTTCTCCACTCT